CATGGGCATGTAAAAGGATGATTTTTTGCACATTAGGCACATTGCTGTAAATAAAAGTATGAGTGAGGCATCCAGGCTCCCATTATACCACTGAGGAACACTGGAAAGTGCAGAAAAGTGACATTTAACCTTCACTCTGAAGACCTGAGCAGGGTTTATTTTTCTATAATGTGGCAGTGCTGCTCCCCCTCCTTTTACTCCAGATCATCGGCATCTGGGTCCTCTCCCATGGGGTGGGAGGACTGGACCTAACCCTCCCTCATCCTGAGGGATTTGCATCAAGCAAATTCCCTGTGTACAAGTCAGGACTTTAATTGCAAGGCATTTGGCTGCTCAGGGCAGCAACCACCTTTGCTTTCCCCTTTGAAGCTGTGCCAATGTGTGGCAGAGAAGCAGGCCTTGAGGGATCCTGGTGTGGCTGGTGTCTACACCCCACAGGGCCCAGAACTCTGCCAGCAGGGATGTATTGTGGGTTGCTGCCTCTGTTTCTACCATTTTTACCATCATTGACCTAGAGTCTTTGCTAGTTAAAGTACAAAAGGTCCCCCAGAGGATGAGGAGCAATACCAAACCCACCTTCTCCAGGTGGGTGCCTCAGCTTTACAGCTGCAGACCCAGAGATATGTTTGTGTCTTCTCTACCTTTTGGAGATCTTAGAGACCTCTTGGATCTACCCTTCCCCTGGATTTTCTATCAAGTCACTGGTGACTGGAGGTGTAATGGTAGTTGGGAACCACAGATTTACACCCTTGTGTGAGCAGGTATCCATCTCTCCCTGCATGGGTTGTCTCCAGTACAGCAGGAGAAGGCCACAGTGGTACAACTCTCTCCTGACCAAAATAGGGATGCTGTTCTGCTCCTCCATGAGAAACCAGTAAAACCTTTGTGATTCTGCCCTGAGGATGGGTTCAGTCCTGGCTGTGTATAGAGAGCAATGTCCAAGAGGCTGTTCCTTGGGCAACTCTTGGGATGAAGGGAATTGCACTCCAAAGCTCCGCATAGTCTGTAAAAGGAGATGATGGTCTTCAGAGTTAGCCATCTACTCCTCAGACGTCAAAGTTAGACCAGATGAATCACACCTAGAGCAGTTTGATGCACTTTTAGCAAAAAATCTGTAGAAAGGCTGGGGCAGGACCCAGAAGCCCTGTGTATAATCCCACTGTGAGACACCAAACTGCAGGAGACCAGGCCAAATAATAACCTTTTTTATTTTTCCTCTGTAAGAAAAGCACCGTGTGTTTATAAATTTCTCTTTGCCAAATGGCTTGTTCTTAAAGAGAATTACACTGTAATAAGCTGCATCATTAAAAAGAAATTTTTCTGTGAGAAACAGAGCCTGGTTTCCTGCAGTTTGGTGTCTTGAGGTGGGATTATCTCACGTCTAATGAGGAGCATTCTGGCTGAAGCCTTTTCTCCTGTTCATAAAGATGCTCTCTCACGTGGGTTCTCTGGTGTCTATAACACATGTGGGATCAAACGACCGTTGTTTAGGTTTTCTCCTATCTAACAATGTAATACTGCTCACATGGCAAGCTGTTCCTCCCTGGAGACGCAAAGAGGTTGTACTTCTCTTCCCTGCTGCTTCTTCTCACAAAACCAGTTGAAAATTAAAGCCTTTGAGACTTCTAACACACAGTTAAATTTGACTGAAATTGGCCAACAGGGTACAAGGTAATTGAGAATAATACCGGACTGACGCAACAATATAGAAACCTAATTTTATTAGGTAATCAGGCAATAAATGACGGAAAGTAAATACCGGAGCAGATTAAACATGGAAAAAATGTTCATAAATATTTATTCAAGCTTTTAAATGCACTCAAGGTGACCATTTTATGCCCGTTTTGCATTTCAATTTTAGACGTTCGATTCACAGTCATATGAAAGACCAACAAGGGCACAGGCACCAGTGGTTACACTCATACCTGAAAAATAAAAGTTAAACAATAGTTTTCTGTGAGACTGTTCTTTCACAGAGATAGGGATTTTTAAAATGTTTCTTTCAGAACATCACAAAATTTAGAATTTAGAAACAGGAATGTTGAATAATTCAGAAACTAGATTTTGAAGATGGTTCTCACCTAGTCAGAGAATAAAAATAGATGATGTGGTTTGTGCTGGATTTCCAGAATTTTCAATAAACCTCAACTGAACAAAGTCAGACCAAAAATCCTTTTCTGAAGTGATTTATGGAAATGTTTCAAAAATTTGAGATGTGAAAGGGAATACTCAATTATTTGCACACACACACACACAGAGGAATCATAAATGAAGGAAAGAAAAAAGATACACTGAATAAATTACACATCGTACTTCCTTTTTGCAGGTCCTGAGCCATAGAAACATGCTTGTTGTAAAGTGATTTTTGGAGTTACTTGCATTTTCTTACCTTGAATACAGTTTAGATGGATGAGCTACCATTGCTCTCCATGCTTATCAAATTAGGAGAATGCATTTCTAAATTCAATTACGTACTCAGTGGAAATGGTTTCTCTGACTCTGGTAATCTTTGGAGAGGAATTATACACAGTCTATAAAGCTTCACATTTCAAAACCTAATTTTGAATGTTATTCAAGAGGTTAATTTAAGATTCATCTTCCTAAAGAGGAATAAAATAAAACAGATAGAAGGCTGGAACTTGTCGAGTGGTTGAGAGGTTTATCAGCATGTGAGTATGAGTTCATTAGTTTTAATTAGTATAATCACTAATGTTGCATTAACAGTTTGGTGAGAGAAAGTAATTGCTCACACCCACTGTATTAGATTGGGAGATTAGAATTCATTTTATGAGGTAATTAGCATTTCAGGGATTTTTTAAAAGGCTTTTACGATCTGCCATTGCAGTAGACTCCTTCACCAAAAAGAGTTTAAATTAACCATAACTTTCATCCTAATGGGATGCAAAAATTAATGTAGAATTAAGTGTGAACCAGCAATCCCACCGCGATAAGCAGGCAGCTAAAGCCACAAACCTCGATTAGTTTATAATGACCTGTTTTATTTCCCTGGCAATGATAGTCATTTATCTGTCCTCAATTCATTATCTTCTTGGAAAGTTTATATTCTTGAATTTTATACAGCAAAACAAATAAAATATGAGGAAGGGAAAATTAGTACAGTTCTATCAAAGTAATAATTCCTCAAAGGAAAAAGCTGCAAAGTTCAATAATACGGCTTAAATAGTCAATTATTCTTCATACCAAATGTCAAAAGAAGGAGTAGCAGGTCCCTTTGACACCCAGTGCCT